AAATAATTTTTAAAATACATTAAATATGGAGTGATCTTTAAATATATCACTATTTGTTGTTAGTTTTCAAAAGTATCATTGTTGTATACATGTTTACAAACTAGTTACAAAATATTTTAAAAACAAATCATCAGTAGTATTTTTAAAAAGTTTATCTCGAAGTAGTGTTTCTTCTAATAATCAAGCTAAAAATAATACATATATAAATATGCATATAAACGACTCCACTACCACAATTGTTTCGTACTTTGTGCATTTCTTATTTATCTTACTTGTTGATGAACATATATTTATCAAATAATCATGACAATTTAATTAAATAGTGGTTTTTTTTGCTAATGGGTACTATAAAGCTCCACCACAATTTTATATCCAAAATCGTTAACCAATCATATTAAAATATGTGCTTTTTTTTATCAAAACATAAATTTGATTTCCTTAAACCGGGATGGATCCGGTTGTCGTTGTTATAAAGGCTAAAGCCGATTTCGCGATCTCATCAGCGATTACAATTTCAGATCTAGGGATAAAAAGAAACGATGCTTTCAAAATCTCCTTTAGTTTAGTAATATCCTGGTTGATTCCATAGGTCTCCAAATGGAAGCTTCATGTGTAGATTAGATTGATCAAAATTTGGGAATCGGAAGCCATAGTGAAGCCAGAGCGGTTTCTCATCGATGCATGTGATAGAGCTGCTCTCATGGCCATTACCTCCGCCATCAAAGGTGAGTCGACCTGTGTCTCTATTTCAGAACCTTGGGCAATGATTTGGTTAAACGGACCCTTGATGATCCACCATAATCCTGTAATTCTTTGATCCGATCTCCAGGCTGCGTCTGAGAAGATTCGAACGGAACGGTTGATTGGTCCAGCGGCATTGCGGTGCGATGCTTTGCAGATTCTGGGGGCTGTGTCTGTGCCTTGAGCCATTCTGAAGCGTCTCTGATCGCCTTTGTGGTCGTTTATATGGTTGTGAAGATTCAATTTTGGAAGAGCTTCTGGTTGCGTGTAAGCCAGAGGGACCAGACTATCCAAGAAAAGAGAGCTCCTTCACTGATTCTGGTGGGAGGTGAAACAACCCGACCCGTTTTTTTTTATATAGCATCAAGTTAGCACTACCATAAATACTAACTCTCAACATGCTAAATTCTCAATCAACAACAACCCAAACATAACCAGCAAAAATCAAAACAAGCCAATCACAATTAACTCATTAAACCAACTCAATTCCAATATCAATTGAAATAACCAACATAACCCAGTAATCAATTCCATAAATCAATCC